ATCCCTGAGCTGCGGCTCCTTAATAGGGGAGAACAAAACCCGAGCTTGGGTCACCACGTGGGATCTCAGTGGCCAAATGTGGGTCAGCAGAGGCCTCGCTGGGGAGGCAGGAATGTCACAACACCGCAGGGGTTTCACAGCACCACAGGGCAGTCACAGCACGGCAGGGGTTTGTCCCTTTTCCAGGGGCATGAGGAGCAGAGGGACAGCATATCCCAGTCCACGGCCACGTTCCCTGGGCAGGGGGATTTGGGTGAGGGGCTCCTGGGATGTGGCTGGGGTGCAGTTGGCTGCGAGGGTGTGTGACCATTTCCAAACCCATGGGTGCTCTGATTCACGGGGCCAGTGGGTGAAGCGGGAAGCATTCCCAAAACCTGGGTGTGCTGCACCCGGCTGTGCTCAGCCATGGGGCAATCCTCGTGCCCTGCCCGTGCACCCCAGGATTCCTGCCTGCTCCTGGACAGCTGGTCAGGCTGCCTGTGCCCCAAGGCCAATCTTCCCTCTGAGGGCTGTGGGTGACCCTGAACTCCACAGGATCACAGCTCCACTATGTGTTTGTTGCACCGAAGGGTCCCCTCCTCGCTTTGACTGGCCCCTCGGTAGCAGAGGTGCAGGGATGGTGTGTTGTGCAGGGACCCCGTGGTATGGGCTGTGTTTCAGCAGCTCCCTCGGTGAGGTGCTGGGCACAGAGGGTGCCCGGGTGCTGTTTGGCCTCGGGAGGGTGGGGTGAGTTCCATGGGGCACTCACCCGCTGAGTCACGGGGCTGTGCAGCCAGAGCTGTGCCGTGTGTGCCTCTGGCCTGGCCCAGGGGTGATGCTCTGTGTCCTTCCCTGACCCCCTCCCCGCACCCCGGGACAGACTCTGTGGCCAGGCCGGGCCATGAGGGCTGGTGGCTGACGTGGCCTGGCAGCTCAGCCTTCCCAAAGGCGATCGCTGCTCCTTCTGCCTCTCCCACCGAGGCTCCCTCCTCCCCATCCCAGCCTGCACATCACTGCCTGCCTTCCAGGGTAGCTGAGCTGGGGGCTCACCCCATCCAGATACCCCAGCCAGCCTCTGGAAACCCAGCCTGGGGGGTGCTGTGGCAGTGCCTGTCCCTCCAGCACTGCACAGGGTGCTCCGAGCTCCCGTCCCCATTTTATGGGAAGGGCTGGGGAGTCCTGGGGCCTGCAGATGCTGGTTCATAAAACACTGACTTTCCAGACAGGCTTTGCAAAAGAAATGAGACGCTGGTGATTGTTTGGAGAGCTAAGGGGATCCCAGGGTGTGTTCCCTGGAGCAAAGCATGATCCTTTCTTGAGGCTGTAGAGAGCCTGTGGCGGGGCAGAGACCCAAAATGCTGGACACCTGTGTGCTCCAAACTGCTGCTGCCACACAGTCCTGACCCTGTGCTGCTGCGGAGTGACAACACAAGGCTGGGTTGTGTGGGCTGGCTTGTGGTTCCCCTGTGGAACCCTGTTTGTCTCCATGGTGGGATGGGGGCACAGGGGGAATGGGGGCTGCAGCCATTTGTGTGTGTGAGGCTGCGGGTGGGTTCACTCCCCGACACTCTCCATCAGGCCGCAGTCACAGGGAGCGCGGTGGGAACGCGCCTGCTCTTCCCGTGTCACTGTGAGTGCTTTCTCCACGCTCACCGATAAATCCGTGCTGGTTTTTCCCGGCAGGTCACCGAGCCAGTTTGTTGGCAGGGCAGAGATCACTGTGGGGCACTGCTGCATGGTTTGGATTTTTCCCTCTCCCGTGTGGCACCAGGACGGCAGCTCTGGGGTTTCGGCGCGGTGTTTGTCTCCCGAGGAGGTGGTTTAGGTTTCACAGGCCCAACCTGATGGGAATTCGAGCAGCCACTAAAACTAGGGCTTCTCATGCCTTCGTTATCAGCGTTATCTGCTGGGCTGGGCAGCCGTGGGGAGCGGGGGAGCACGGTGGGAGCTGGTGGGAGCCCGTGCTGTGCTGGGGCGGCACGAGCCCCCGGGATCTGCTCCAGGCAGCCCCCACCTCCTGGGCTGAGTCACCAGCAGGCCGAGTGCATTTGCTGCTGGTGTGACGGCAGCTGTAAGTCCCAAAAAAACCCCCAGCACTGATGCTTTAATGACAGGCGGATAACACAGCCCCGAAGAAGACTCATCCCGCACATACCTCATTAGTGGTGACTAAGCCCGCACCGGGCTGGAGCAGCCACAGCCTTCCCACGTCACCCCAGCCCTGGTGTCACTAATTCTGCAGGTCCCAAGATCCCAAACTGCCCATCTCCTGCCTGTCCCCAGCCTTGTTCCATATTTAATCTTTCATGTTCACCTGAGTCTCTAATTAGGCTCAGCTGTGAGCCCACGGTGTGTAGTGAGGGCTGGCGTTCCCGGAGTGCTCTGTGTGTGGGACCCACAGAGCAGCCCACTGAAACAACCCCCACATTAGGGTTTTCCCTTTGTTTTCCCTTTCTTTTTGATTCCTCCCCCCTGAACTAGCACTAGGCAGGTGTGTAACACTAACCCAAGGCAGATATGAATCACAGAATCCCAGAATCCCAGAACAGTTTGGGTTGTAAGGGACCTTAAAGCTTATCCAGTTCCAACCCCCTGCCATGGGCAGGGACACCTTCCACTAGAACAGGTGAGATGAAGTGGGGACCCATTAACAGCAAAGCTCTTAAAAAAGGTATGTGTGGACTGTTTCGGGCTTTTTTCTCTTTTTTTTACAGTAAAGGCATGAATGGTCAGTTTGAGGTGTTCAAAAAGAGCTTTCTTTGTGTTTCTTTTCGCTGGCACATCTGTCCAGATTGCTCCTGTTGGGGTGAGGCAGGGCAGCAAGGGAACCCCAGGCGCTGCTTCCCAAGCCAGTATCCAGAGAAGCCAGACAGTGTCAAGGGCTGGAGCAGCCACCATCCTCCCCTGACACCCCAGCTGGCTGCCTTGCCCTTTAGAGTCCCCCAGATAAAAACACCCCCCGGCCTGGCAGTGAACGGGGCTCTGATCTCCCGGGGGCCTGCAGGGTCTGGGGAGGGGGAGAGACAGGCATTGTAACTGGAGCAGCATATCCATGGCAACCCCAACTTTTCATCAGTGTTAATTACTTACACAGTGCCAGAGCTGCGCGTGGCGCCTCCCAGATAAAGATACATCCCCCTTTCAAGCCTCTCCCAGTGACACCGAGGCGACAGCGAGCTCCAGGAGCCGGGTCTGGAACGCGGTGACGGAGACATTTTGTGAGGGAGAGAGGAGCTGGGACTCAGAGGAGGGACTGGTGAGGCAGCCAGGAGCTCAGGGCAGCTTTTCTCCCAGAAAACACCTTCCCAGAGTGTTGGGAAATGGCCTCAGCCGGTGTGACAAGCAGATCTGTACCCAACGTGCTGCTGTTGGGGCGTCTCTGGTGGCTGCTCCCTCGGTGGGGTGTGTGAGGCCGTGGCCACGGTGAGGGCTGGCAGCAGGTCACACTCACAGGCCTGTCTGGGTCCCTTTGGGGCACAGGGACGTCACTGAGTGGGATGAGGACGTGGCTGATCCTGGGATGGTCCCAGCAAGGTCCTAGAGTATTTGGCTCCTCTACTGTTTTGGTGCAACTCACGGCACAGGAGGCTGGGCAAAGGAAAAGCAGTTTGGCTGTTTAATGTTAAAATGGGAAAAACATTCCCGAGGCATCACAGCTCACTGTGTTGTTCCCTCAGCGTTCCCAGTTACAGAGTCTCAATTTTTACAGACTTCTTCAACGTGCAGTTTATTACTGCTGCTTTTCTTTAAATAGCATTATTTTCTAGGAAATGCAGTCGTCCCATCCCTACAGCTGCTGTTGTGCATTTATCTCCCCTCTCCCCGCGAGAAGCTGATGGATACAGATCCAGGCAGCTGCGTGACCTTTACAGTCTCACTCGGAGTCCAGGGACGTGGATGCAAGATTGTTTCAAGTCGTTCTGATTTTATTGCAAACCAAAATATACTTCACATTCAGTGGCACCTCAGGTCCACAGGATAATTACTCTTGGGGAAAAAACAACCCAAACCCCTTAAACAGGTATCGGTGTAGTTGTAGCTCACTTCGGTTTTTCCAGGAGATCCCAAACTTGAGAGCCAACACTCCACTTGCTTTAGTTTGTCAGGTTTTCTATGGGATGTTATTCCAGCATTACACCTTAGCAGGAAGCAGTCTGACGAACAATTTACTGTGCAATAAGCCACACCAAGCTGCATCTGCAAAGAGCCATCTTCATCATCCAGTTATTGCCAAATCCAAATGTTCTGTACTGAAGCTGCACAGAGATCAGCTGATGTGACAGGGGGGTCGTGTGTTCTGTAACCTGTTGCACCTCCTCACTGCTTGTTGGTCAGTGGGCACGTCGCTGACAACGCTGAGGGAGTAAAACCCCACAACAGGAGCTTCGTGCTCTTCACTCCTTAATTTCTGTGGGAGAACGCTGAGCTCTGAGTGTCCTTTTATTCCTGTTCCCAAAGGCTGCAGTGGCTGTAACTTCCAGCCTTCCCAACAAACTGAAGACTGAGGGATTATGTGTAATTTGACAATCCCAAAAGAGGGGCGAGCAGCTGAAGCTCGTCGGGTTGTGCAGTGCCCTCCTGCTGGGATATGTGCTAATACCACATGAAAGTAACAACTGTTGAGGAGACTCCCTGCCATGTCCTTTCCCATCCTTTATCACAATTAAGTTAAAAAGACCGGACCGCTGCAATCTCTATTTTTACAGCTGGGGGCACGTGCTGTCACCTCTGAAAGCTGCCACCGATTCAGGAAGGAGCACAGGGAGGGAGGGAGGGAGGGCTGCATTTCTATACCTGTAGTGCACAAAGTGGGGCTCTGTCCTTATTCTGTGCCACTGTCAGCATAAAAGTACCGCGATG